TAAAGGAATAGTTCCCCCAATAGTTTACTCAATAGTAGTGTTTTGTTTATAATTGATTCATATGATCAATATAATAATTGATCCGAATCACAGCCAGATGGATGTTAACCTTCATTTTTCATGTTTTGGGTTGGCTTCAAACTATTCTTTGAAGAACACGGTCGTTCGTTTATGCATCTGTTTTGTGAGCTCAGCGTTTATAGATGCAGGGTTGACTTTCATCAGCGTTTGTGTTGTTTTCAGATTCTTCTCGTTCACAAGCTGGATGGTCATTACAACTCCAACTACGTCCCGGTGTTTGTTCCTCTCTGGGTTTCTTTGGTGACTCTAATGGTGACAACGTTTGGCCAGAAAGGAGGCAATCACTGTACGTGACGTGTGTTACCTGCACTGCCGTTCATAAGTATGGGATATGATTTTTAATGTTTTTTTTATAGAAGTCTCTTCTGCTCATCAAGGCTGCTTTTGTTTGATCAAAAATACAGAAAAAAACAGTAATATTGTGAAATATTATTGCAATTTAAAATAATGGTTTTCTATTTTAATATACTTTAAAATATAATTCATTTCTGTGATGCAGAGCTAAATTTTAATCTGGCATTACTGCAGTCTTCAGCGTCACATGATCTTCAGAAATCATTCTAATATGCTGATTTATTATCAATGTTGGAAACAGTTGTGCTGCTGAATATTTTTTGGAACATGTTAAACTTTTTTTTCAGGATTCATTTAGGAATAAAAATTTAAAAAGAACATCATTTATTTAAAATAGAAATCTTTTCTAACAATATGCACTACCGTTTAAAAGTTTGGGGTCTGTAAAAGTTATTTATTTTTTTTAAGAAATTAATACTTTTATTCAGCAAGGATTGCTTAAATTGATAAAAAGTGATCAAAGTAAAGACTTATATTGTTAGAAAAGATTTCTGTTTTGAATAAATGCTGTTCTTTTTAACTTTTTATTCATCAAAAAATCCTGAAGTATCACGGGTTCCAAAAAATATATATTAAGCAGCACAACAGTTTCCAGCATTGATAATAAATCAGCATATTAGAATGATTTCTGAAGAATCATGTGACGTTAATGACTGGAGTAATAATGCTGAAAGTTCAGCTTTGCATCACAGGAATAAATTATATTTAAAAGTATACTAAAATAGAAAACTGTTATTTTAAATTGCAGTAATATTTCACAATGTTACTGTTTTTTTCTGTATTTTTGATCAAATAAATGCAGCCTTGATGAGCATAACAGACTTTTTTTTTAAAAAGCTTCCCAAACTTTTGAACGGCAATATATCTGTCTTCTTGCTACTCATTCATTAAAATGGCTTGACAAGAATGATTCAGAAATGTCTGCAAATAATTATTAAATAAAAATAATGAATCAAAACTAGATAACCTTCCAGTATAGTCTATAATGAATCACAACGTTTAGCTTTCTTAGAACTACATGCGGTGTTTGCTGGAGCAGGCATGACTAATACTATTTTTCTTATTTGTAGTAAGTGATTTAAACAAACCCCAAACCTTAAGTGTCAAATGTTGCTGTGTAAGTCATCCCACAAATTTTGTTTCCCTTTCACTTGCATTTTCTTCCGAACATTTCTCCATCACAAATGATTAGCAAACAGCAAAACTAAATACGTTCCATATTTGTATTTAGATGTTTGTTTTAAATGGGGAAAAAAATCATGCAAAAGATGATTCTGTAAGGTATTTTCCCTAATTTTGTTTCAGTATTGACTTGAGCTCTTCTCTCATTTCCCTCTGTATCAGGGTGGTTCGGCATTCGCAAAGACTTCTGCCAGTTTCTTCTTGAACTCTTCCCCTTCTTGAGGGAATATGGCAACATATCCTATGACCTGCACCACGAGGACTCCGAGGTGTCCGAGGAATTACCCATCCACGAGGTGCCTAAAATCCCTCCCATGTTTCATAAGAAGACGGGTGTGGTGATCACCCAAAGTCCTGGCAAATACTTTGTGCCGCCGCCCAAACTGTGCATCGATATGCCAGACTAACATTCAAAACTCTGTCCTCATTTGGCTGTTCGTGAACAGTATAGCACTATGCACTGGGCTCTGCTTCAGGACGTACCATTAAAGAAGACAAATACAATCCTACTACACAGATGCTTCTTCTGAGACTCTTAAGGAAGAACCTTTGTGTTTGAGCTTAGCTCAAATACCGGCTCCCAACCGTTTTGTATACAATAGCCTTGTGTCTGTAAAATCCATAGATGGGACCTGTTGCCTTCTGGAGTGGATCATTTGAACTTTCCTGACAACTCAGTCAAAGGACTCGCCGAGAGACTGTCTAATCTGTAAATAAGCAAAGTGTTTTGTTTTTTTTACCAAGTGTGTGTTTTCTCTGTATTTTAAATCCGTGTATGGTGTAGGCATTCAGTTACTCATCCGTCGGTCTTAGCTATATCCAGCTTTGTTAACATTCGTTCTGAATCTGCAAGATATTTCTCTGTGGGAATACATGACGGTTCCTCGTTTCCACTGTGATTGCAGCCTTTTTGGTGGAAGAAAAGCATTAGTGTAAAAAGCTTTATTTACATGAATCTGAAGTGGATTTATTCATTTCTTCATCTGCTACCATATGTGACCCTGGACCACAAAACCAGTCATATGAGTCAATTTTTCAAAATTGAGATTTATACATCATCTGAAAGCTGAATAAATAAGCTTTCCATTGATGCATTAATGTTAGGATATGACAATATTTGGCTGAGATACAACTATTTGAATATCTGGAATCTGAGGGTGCAAAAAAACCTAAATATTGAGAAAATCATCTTTAAAGTTGTTCAAATGAAGTTCTTAGCAATGCATATTACTAATAAAAAATTAAGTTTTAATATATTCACAGTAAGAAATTTACAAAACTTCTTCATGGAACATGATCTTTACTTAATATCCTAATGATTTTTGGCATAAAAGACAAATCAATAATTTTGACCCATACAGTGTATTTTTGGCTATTGCTACAAATATACTCCAGCGACTTAAGACTGCTTTTGTGCTCCAGGGTCACATGTGACCGAGGCGAGCCAATGAAAACCATTATAAGATTGATGTTGTCAATGCAGCTGTTGTTTCTCAACCCAGTGAGAGCGCTCTGGCCTTTCACAATGTCACTCGAGTGTGATCGCAAGAGTGTAAAATATGAATTTCACACCCCGTACAGTTAGTAGGTAACCTTTATTGAAAATATAACCACTACCTGTATATTCCCTGTAATTTGAGTTCCTTGAGTTAGCCTCTTACAGTAACAGTTTTCAGTGTTCTTTTAATCCCCTTTTAATTGCTATTTAAGTGTTGACTAGTTGTAGTATGTTGCCTGTCCTACACCCAAATCTGAAAACTTATATTTTTATGTTGCATACTGTCATCCAAGACAATATGAAATATTGTCGTCTTGTTCAATGGCTAGAAAGACAAATTCTCAATTCACTTTCTCAGCTGGTCTGAGTGAATAGCCATAGAAATGTGGATGTGGACCAATATTATGGTTTTATTCCCCACTGTACATACACAGTTGCCACTCTCGACGTCCAGTGTGTCCATTCCTTTGTAATACATTCAAATGTTATCATGCAAAAGCTGTCTGAATCTTTTCACGTTACAAATCCCTTTCTTTTTGGAATTGCCCATTATCTTATATTTATCACATATATTATTGTTTCCTTTTTGAAAGACGGGTGCTCACTAAGGCTCACAATTTATTCAGGTATTCAGTAAATTAACTTGCAGCTCATTCTGCCATCAGTCATGTGGCATTCAATTTGTCTGTCGTCGGTTATTCAGTTATTTTACTTTAAAATATATAAATATTAACAAGAGCTGGGTAGATTACTTGAAATTGTAGTCCATTACTGATTCCAAATGACAAAAAACAAAAATGGTATTTAGTAACCTAATACATTACACATTTTACGCAATGTAATCAGACTACTTTTTCATTACTTTTAGATTACTTTTTGAAAAGCTAATAATTAAATCATAAAAGTGTCAAATTAATTCATTTTAAAATACCATCAATCACAATATAAAACATTTAAATATTTAATTAGTTTGAACCTTGCAAATGTGTTAATGTATCTCATGGGTGCTTCAAGTAAATATATTAGGCGAAAGGTTTTTCTGACAAAAAAAAAAAAAAGTTTGGGAATCCCCACCTTAAATGTAAATAAGAAATAACTTGAATTTGACCACTGGATTTACAAAAATCATTTCAGTTTTAAGAAGTGTTTTCTCAATATTTCAACATTGCATCAACTACTGATGATCACACTCATTTGTTTGAATTATTGCTCAGTGGGTTATTTAACCATGTATTATTATGCCTTTGGAAGGCTTTTGAGCACAAATTCACGTTATTTCACATGCAATGCTGGCATTCCCCAAACTTTTTTGTCATCTGAACATCTTTCACCTAATATATTTACTTTAAGTACCCCTGAGATTTAAAAATAAATATTTTAATTATTCAGTAACACATTTGCATGTTAATGGTTCTCAGATGTCGGTTAATGGTCACATGATAGACATGCAGGTAAACAAATAAAATACTTAATTTTTTAAGTGTTTTATTTTGATTTATATTATTTTAATTTTGCATTTTTATTATTTAATTCATTATTTGCTTTTCATTAAACTCACAAACCCCCAGTTTGGGAAACCTTTATAATGTAATACAATGTTTAATGTAGGCACTTCATGTTGTAAATAACAACGAATGTAACAAATTTTCTTTTTCTTTGCATTTTTATATCGATATGGTACAAAATTGTCCCATTTAAATCAATGTGATAAACAAGTTAGATCAAAAGTAATCTAAAAGTAGTCCGATTACATTACCTAATATGTAGTGTAACGGATTACGTTACTAACTACTGTTTTCATCATGTAATCAGTAACGGATTTGTAAATAATCTACCCAGCTCTGCATATAAATACATATGAAAGCAGTAAAATGGAGAAGCGTGCGTGCGTGCGTAGCAGCGTCAGTGACGCAAGCGTCTGTGCGCGACTCCACCCAACGGCACAAAACAACTTTGCGAGCGCAGCGCGAGTCATGGTGTCAAAGAGGATCTCCTGAAGAACAAACTGCGCGAACTCTCACCAAAAGCGAATAACAAGCTGTCGACGACCGTCTGGATCTCTTATAAATTACAAAAAGTCCACTTTACGAAGGAATTATGCTTACCGAGTGTCGACTTTAAAGCTAGCAAAGCGCAGCTAGCTCAAGAGTTTGGCGCCGCGAACTTCACGAACAGTGGATATAGTGTAAATATAGTCGTTTATATAATTTAATACGAAGTAGTGTGAGAAAAGGAACTCTTTAAGGATCTCTCCGAGAGTTTATTGGGTGTGTAGTGTGTCTGTGGACGGGTGGAGATGGCTCAGTCGCCGGTAGCTGTTCAAGTTCCTGGAATGCAGGTGAGTTTGTGTGGAAAGGTAACGCCATCATCATCATCATCATCCTCATCATCATCCTCATCATAGGCTAATCCGCATTCAGCATAAGACACTCACGATCAAACTTATCCTCCTGAGAACCAGAAAAAGAGTTTTGTTATATATATACACATTAAGGAGCATATTAATTGATTCTAAATGTATCAATTTATGTATGTGTGTATATATATATATATATATTTATATTTATATTTATATTAGAACCCGACCGATATGGGTTTTTTGGGCCGATACCGATATTAGGGAGTAAAAAAGCACGATATCGATATATCTGCCGATATTTTTTGTGTATATTATAGTACAGTACCAGTCAAAAGTTTGGACACTTTCCCATTCTGTGTCCAAACGTGCGTCCTTTCTAGAGGACGCCAGGACTAAGTTATTCAAAATAAATAGACATGAAAAGGCATGTAGCAAAAACAATGTTTTATTTTTTTCATTCACCAATCAGTTTTCAGGCTGTTTTTAGCCAAACTTTGTACAAAGATGATTCTCAACTATGTTATGAAAGATATAACAGAATGATTTGATATGCTACTGTACTTTGTGGAATATGTGCGTAAAATGTCCATAAATTGATATACAATGTATCTATACACTGCATCTAATTTGCATATTAATGTGTTCTTGGGGCAAATCATAATGAAAAAAGAAGTCTAATAATGGGAGTAATAACTTGTCAACATTTTCATAAGAATATCTCATATTTCATAGGAATATTGATTTATAATTTCTTGTTGTGTTTCCCCAAAATGCCTGATTAACAGGCCGTTTGTCCTCTACAGAAGACATGCATGAAAATTATGCCCTATTTCATAACAAAAAGTCATATTCCGATCTGAAGCCCCATATCATTTTTCTGAGATGTTTATTTACGACAAACAATTTGAAAATTAGCCAGATTTAAATTATAATTCCAAAACATTATCATATTTCCCTAAGAGTGCTAAATTTGATAATTCTGTCAATATCAGTCATATTTAAAGACCAAGAAGAGGGAGTGTTTATGATCAAACCTCCAAACATTTGATATCTCCGAAAAGCCCTGAATCCAGACTTAACACTGTGGCATGAAGGGTCTCAGAGAAATTCACTAAAACATAATGTCCTCTACAGAGGACAAAAGTCTGTCTGGGTCCCAGGAGGATATTGCATCTGTGCATTCGCTTCTGTCTGATCTTTAACACTTTGTGTTTTTAATAACTCCTAATATAAACGCTAACAAAAAAAGTAAAAAAACATTTGTTTACACCAAAGAAAAGCAATGTTTTTGTGCATGAACTTGAATAGATATATATATATATATATATATACACACACATAAACATGCCAATCAGCTTATCAACTCAAAGTAAAATGGCTTAGTCACTATGAGCTGATCTGTGGTCCAGATCAGTCTATATTTGGATATTTCTATGCTCCTGGTTTGGTCTAATGATGATATTTGTGTATAAGGTGGCATCTGCTCCCTAAAGGTGGGCTAGTGCTCGCTCTTGTTCCCATCTCTCGTAATAAAAGCATGAGTCTGCTTTTGCTGCCCGTGATCTAGGACAATGGTGTAATCCTTTTGTTTTAAGCTATTTTGTGTGACAGCCTTCCTTGCAGCACAGGAAGTGTGAATGTGGTTCTGTGTTGTGGCCGCTGTCTCAACTTCACACTTATTAGACGCTAGGAATCAGAACCTGTGTTTGGTTTGGCAGCGCATTAGAACTTCACCACTATTCCTTTTTTTGATCGCAGATTGAGGTCAGAAAGGTCACTGATCCAGACCACCATAACTAAGCATGTTATGGAATAACACACACACACACACGTTCGTTGACTTCTCTGCTATGACAACTGGGTGGTATTGTTAATCATTACGCACAGCAGATTGGTAACAGCAGTGGGTAACTTTGCTCATTAATGTAACACTTGTGACGCCTTTTTAATGTTTATTTTGTGAGTCTGTCTGGGGTTTAAAGTGCAGTCTCGTCCTTCTAAATAGGCGATGCAATTGTCCATTCATAGAAGTGATGTGTTATAGCTCCAGAAGCATGAAGGAGTGTCGATCTTAGGCGTAGTGTCTGGGTGTGGCCTGCAAAGAAGTATTTCGAGCACTGGTTTACCGTGGTTAGCACCTGAGTCAGCTACAGCGAAAGTCTGAAGGAACACGATGAAAGCTTGTTGTGTCATGTAGCTCGTGCCCACGTGCACTTGGTACGTTTTCCCAAATGCATTTCCGCAGCCCCTGAGGTGTACCTCATTGTTGCCAGTTCATGTGTTTGTGTAGTGGAGGAAATGAATCCAGCTGATAAATCTTGTGGGGCACGTACACACCCTCTTTGCAAGCTTGTTAACATGCAGATAGCCCTAGTCATTAACGTACCGGTCTGTGCACAGCGGTTTATCAGAAGGACGCAGACGGTGGAGCAGGATATAGCTCATCACTTCTGCTCCACCGGATCTAAAGCACTTCAGAGATGCCCAAAGACCAGATACAATACTACTTTTTTTCCCCAGTCCAATTGGAAGGGAAATCTAACAATACGAGCCAAGTTCAATGTCTAAGTGAAATATTTTACCACAAAACCTGTCACTGCCCATTATCTGAATTTGCAAACAAGCAAAAATGTATCATGGTATTAGAATTTTGGTAGGCCGCAATTAGGGATGCAAATTTTGGCTAATACTTTTAACCGATTAACCAGTTAAAAAGGTTAACCGACAATGATCAAACATGGGGTAAATGCAGTATTTGGGGTGGGAGATATAAGCAAAAGCCATGTTTTCATATTCTTCAATATTTGGTTGAAAACAATATCACAATATGCACGTTTTTGTAAAAACTTGATTTAAAAACTTGTCAATTTCCAAAGTATTGACAGACCTACTATATCACAAATTTGATCATTTCTAAGTGGTCTTGATCATTAAAAGTCAAGTCACATTTATTTATATTGTGCTTTATACAATACAGAGTGTTTCAAAGCAACTTCACATCAATAAACAGATAAATAATATCGTAAACCACATTAATTATGAAACAACTTCAATTTTAGCTGTAAAGCCGTTCCACAGAAGACAATTGTGCCATTATTTAGCTCAAGTTCATTCAGTATTGATTCAGTTCAAGGATGACTGTCAATGTTGCAGAGTTAGTCATTATTCAGCTCAAGTTGTTCTCATCTGATAGCATCAGTGCAGTTGAATCGATAATATTACTGGATATTAAAGGTCTTTTAAACCCAAATTGCAAAGAAATCAGCTTTATAAACAAGTAAATATTAAAAAGGTTGCATTAAGATCTATCCACCTTGTGTTGGCCACACAAATGTTGGTGCTCGTTTTTTTTTTAGATTTTTTTTCTTTTTTTCTTTCTGTCTTAAGGCTACAGGTGTTTCTTCTTGTCTCCGCTGGTAAAACATGATAGTAAGTGTATCCAATAATTGATTTAACAACATTAATTCTGATGCATTATTATTTTTGTGCAGTGTCAGATTTTTTTAACCTGTCATTCACAAATACACATACAAAACACACTTTGATATTCATACCAGTACAACTACACTATTATAATTACATAATTTCAATTCAGTTAGCCTTTTTTTTTCAGCAGAAGCACAAAACAGGTGAAAGCGAGTATTTGCTCCTTGGGTGCTAAATAGTAAAAATGTAAAAACTGTACAAATTTGAAGGCTCACCAACAGAATGAAAGCCTGTTAAACAATAATGCATTATTGTATTCCTAAAGGGCACTGAAACATATTTTAAAGGGTGTCAGTGTGGACATTTTTGTCCTTAAGGTCCTGAGTGCAATTTTTTTTTTTTTTTTTTTTTTTTTTTGAAAGAAAATTTTTTTTTTTTTTTTTTTTTTTTTTTTTTTTTTTTTTTTTTTTTTTTTTTTTTTTTTTTTTTTTTTTTTGATTTATGAAAGTAAATTATGGTAAAATATTTAAATAAAAAACAAAAAACACTTTTTTGACATTTATGCTGTTTGAATTAACACAGCCAAAATGAGCCACACACACACAAAAAAAAAACGTCCCCAAGTATGCACAACGGTTAAAACAATTTTTATAGAAACTGTTAATAGAAAGGTTTCCATCTTATGTAAGTGCACACAATTCAGATGACTCTTCACAACACACCATTTATTCCTTTTAATATGCAAAATCTTAAGTTAACACCAAACAACTGAATGCATCTTTAAATGTACTATTTTGTCTATTTTTAATCTATATGTTTGCCATTGTTATTTCTGTACAAAAAATTAAGTTGTTTTTTAGATGAGTGTGATAAGCTTTTTCATCACAAGTTCCATCACAAGTTTGACATTTCAAACACTGTTTCTTGTTTTGGATAGTTTTTCCCAATGCTCCAATGGCAAGCATATTTTCACTGCCTGAAATTTGCTTCCTATTCCGTATATATTGTGTTCCAGATTCCATATATAAGTATACCAACTTCAGACAGTTTGATGGTGGGATTTATCATTTGGGGGGTAGGGAGGGATGTGTTTGAAAACAGCCGTCGGTCGATAGTTTCATGTATCAAATGTATATTACATTCCAAATAGCAAAAATGATGCTTTCGTAGAGCATTCGGAAGAGAAAAACAGAAATACCAGTGAGTGAAACCTCACACTGTCAAGCAAAGTGCACGTTTCTCACAGCGCAAATCCTGTGCAATGAAGACCGTTGTTGCCATTGCATTTTGCTTCAACCATGAAACATTATGCAAGTTTATATACTTATTCGACGTTGTGTGTGTAACTGGCAGCATGCAGAATATGGCTCTCTAGTGCATAAGTGCCCTTGCACATATGCAGAAAAACAGCTCCGAATCGTTGAAGGAGAGTATCGTGATGCATTGGAGAATCGATCCCTCCCCAACTCCTGTAAATAACCATATTTTGATTTCATGCAGACTTTTCATGTGGACTTTAAAGCTAATAAACAGACTAAACTCAACAACAAAACTTTAAATGTTTTAAAAGACTAACTGTAAAACAGCTTTTGTGCCTCTTATAATTTAATCAGTATTGCACGCAATGAAATAACTGTATCTGCAGTAGGTAACTGATACCAGTTAAACAGCTGCATATATTGATTCGTAGAGCTCCCCTCCCAAAGGTTTCTTGGAATATTATTGATTAACCTGATGTGGCATTGGTATTCTCTCGGTTATAAACCCTTATGAACTGCTTGTCTTCGATCTTCATTGTTCCATTGAACCTTTTATACAACTGGAGGAATATAATCAAGCAACTCCTTGTGTTTTTGGTGCACTGAAACACATGGTTTATAGAAGGAAAGTGAGAGATCTTTTATGAAATCTGTTTCTAACTTCAGAGTGTTGAATATGAGAGATTTTAGTCTATTTTTATTCTATAAAGTTGCATTCCAAATATGTCATTACAGCAAATTTACCTGAGATATATTGTGAACTAGTATCCAATAGGGATGTAACGATTCACTCAACTCACGATTCGATTCGATTCACGGTTTTGATTTCACGATTCGATTCGGTTCACGGTTTTGTTTTTTTTGTTTTTTACAAAATGAGATTTAAGACAAATTATAAATTAAATGTGTTCTTTTATTATTGCTTGGACAAAATGCTGCATGTTTCTTTGTGAAATTGAAATATAACACTATAATAATATAATATACTAATATAGCACTTGTATATTACTGCTCTTTTGTTGGTTTTGATTGCTTCTATTGTCCTCATTTGTAAGTCGCTTTGGATAAAAGCGTCTGCTAAATGACAAAATTTAATCGATTTTCGACCGGCTCACGGATAATCGTTACATCCCTACTATCCAATCTAGTCAACTCTGACTCTGTGTAACTTTTGTATTCCAGAACAGCCGAACAGACCCTGAAGAGTTGTTCACTAAACTAGAACGGATCGGGAAGGGCTCGTTCGGTGAGGTGTTCAAAGGAATCGACCTACGCACTCAGAACGTAGTGGCCATCAAGACCATCGATCTTGAGGAAGCAGAAGATGAAATCGAAGACATCCAACAGGAGATCACCGTACTCAGCCAGTGCGATAGTCCGCATGTCACCAAATACTATGGCTCTTACCTAAAGGTATGCATTGACATTGGCTGTTTCACACATTAGCTGTAGCACATGCTAGTAGTGTTGTCACAGTAGCAAAATTTCAGTAGTGGATGCCAATACCAGTAAAATTCGGTTCTCGGTATTGCAAAAACTACTGGAACTCTATCTGAGACTTTTTTTTTTTTTTTTATGAATTAAGTGTGTTAATTATTAATGATGATAATAATTACAAGTAAATACTACATTACAACAGCATGTAGCCTTCAAATCTTTTTTTTAAAAAGTAAACATTACTGTAAAAAAAAATTTTCTCGTCCGTTGCTTTGATGATCACTATTTCAGTCATTGCCGTTTTAGATTCAGTTCAACATTTAAATACGGATGCTACTCCTGAAACTATGCAGTGTGCAGCATAAAAAAAAACTTTTATTCAAATTGTGAATGGGTCATATACAGCTCCTTTCATAATCAGTTCAATTCAGCGCAAGCTTACAGAGTTCTGCACTATTGCAAAAGCCATATATAGATACAGTCTTATATTATATCACGACAGCCTGCCGAAATAAAAGTTCAGTTTAACTTGACAAATATAATGTAATAATAATGCAATTTAAAAACCATTATTTAAGAAATATCACACAATTTTTCATTCATTCATAAGTATATAGTAAACCTCTATTATAGCAAGTTGATAAATAATATAAATGCAATGTTTTGTTGTAAATTAATTTAAATGTAAATTAATTTTTGTTGTAAATTAATTATTGTAAATATAAAGTAAAATATTTTCATACACTTTAAAAGATTTATCAAATGGTTAAAGTTTTATGAATTAATTTGATTACCACTAGTTTTTATTTTAGATTTGTATTGTATGAAATCATTAATCCAGAAAAAAATCCACATCCAGAAGAATTGAATTTTCCTTCAGAAAAATTCTTTAGTTTCACAAAAATTGTAAAATACTATGTTGAATTTGTTGATATTACCGTTCTATTAAAATCACTTGACAGGTAAGACCATAACCAAAAAGCATTGTTTAAGTATTGTGTATAATCTTTCCTTAATATTTTTAATTAAAAAAGTGAATGAAATCTTCAGTATGTGTAGTACACCAAATATTCACAGAGACATGCAGAACATGCGGACTTCATTCAAATAGCAGTGTTTTTGCGCCTTAATATTCACAGACACTAGTCCATATCACCATTGAAGGATACACTCTCAGTGCTTTGCCCAGATGCCACACCAGAACCAAAATGTAAGAAATTCACACATTTTGGTATTGTTCTAGATAAGCACCGGTTCTCTGTTCCCAGCCCCAGGTTTTTTGAGGCACGAGTAGCCTAATATTATCATAGCACCATAGTGCTGTGCATTGTGTGTAACACCAGCACATGTGCAGTACACATGGTTGCCTTTGGATGAAAATTAATACAAAAGATGGCTGAGGATATGTTTTAATGGGGAGTTCTGAAGCGGTTTGTAAAGATTTGATGCAATTGGTGACTCATGGCCAAACCCTTTGTGCTATGTCACAATACCTGTATTTCTGGAAGGCTGCCAGACAGAACATACTCTCATAGATTTTGTCTGGTCACTTTGTGTGTCTGTGTGCATCAATGGTCAGTGTTTGTTCCAACAAATGATGAAAAGGCTGCATCATTATGTATAAGGTTAAAAAAAAGAACAGGGGCCTTGTGTTATAAAATGTGCAGATTTCATACTAAAGTTGTGCATATGGACATGAAGTAGATTTAGATTTTGCATACACAGTTTTCAGATTTATAATGTGCGTTGGAACCTGTGCGGAATTCCCTTTATAAATCCCAGTCGGTTAAAAATTGTGCATACGTTGTGCACAGGCCCGACTGTAAGCATCAAAACAATGGCCTATCATATTGCAATGCATTAAAGTAGTCAATACAGCACAGTTAAGAGGATGCCAATGTTTACTAAACTGGGGACTGGCTTTGACTCTTGCTGCTGATTTGAATGGCGATGCATCCCGTTTTAAGTGTCAGTTGATGGCCTTTCATTTTTAACCAGAAATGTGCACGCTGCTTTTCTGATGTTCATTGAGGTTTTCCGTATCTTTTTCTCACGTCACTTGAAATGTGTCTGTTTTGAATTGTTGTTACCAAAGGCGAGACACGTAAAAATAAACAATCGGTCGTGGGACTATATTCTGTCATAAATCAAATACCATTCATTCCTGAACTTTCTATCGTCCGTTACTGGAAATTGAAATTACTGGTACATATATTTTTTGTCCCATCCATTGCTATTGTTATCACTGTGTCGATCACTGCTATTTCGAGAGTGAATCCAGCATTAACATGAGGATGTCTTTCCCGAAATGTTACAGCATGTATGTTTGAAAACTGCACTTAATAAAAACTCCGGCATTTTCAGCGGTGAGTGAATTCTAAAACGTTTCTGATTGGC